CGGGGCATAGAGGACCTACAATAATGTACAGTATTTGAAAAATAATGTGTTTTTTGAACATTAAAGCATGTCAACATATTCTGTTACACCAAATACACAAAATAATGATCTTTTAAAAAGCATCATATGACCCCTTTAATATAAGTATTTTCAATATCTAATGTACAAGTACATGCAGGACTGTTTGAGGTAAGTTTGAGGTTAGTATGCTTTTTTGGTAACACTTTAGATTAGGGAACATATTCACTAAGGGTTTTTCATTTTTACGTTTAGGTGTGGGGTCGGGTTAAGGGATCTAAAATATGGTCATGCAGACCATAAGACATTCATATGTGCTTTATAAGTACTAATAAACAGCCAATATGCTAGTAATATGCATGCTAATGAGCAACTAATTAATAGTGAATAATGTTCTTTAAACTAAAGTGTTTTTTTAAGAAATTAATTATTTTATTCGGCAAGGAACAATTAAACTGATCAAAAAAGTCAGCAAGACATTTATAATGTTGCAAAAGATTTTTTATTTCAAATAAATGCTGTTCTTTTGAACATTATATTCATCAAATAATCCAGAAAAATATGTATTATGATTTCAATTAACTTAATTATTATAAGAAATATTTATTGAGCAGCAAATAAGCACATTATAATGCTTTCTGAAGGATCATATGTCACTGAAGACTGGAGTAATGATGCTGAAAATTCAGATTTGATCACAGGAATAAATTACATTTTAAAATAGAAAATAATAATACATAATAAATTACATTTTTACATAGAAAACAGTTATATTAAATTGTAATAATATTTCACAATATTACTGTTTTTATTATTGTGTGTGAGAGAGTGTGTGTGTGAGTGTGTGAGAGAGTGTGTGTGAGTGTGTGAGACCTTACACCATCTCATATGCATCTGGAGTGGTTCCGATGAAGAATCCTCCGGGCCGCAGTCTCTCACAGGCGTTTCTCAGCATGGTGTCAGCCTGCTGCTCGCTCTCAAAGGAATAATGACACACAAACTGACAGCTGCACACGTCAAACCGCAGCTCAGGGTCTCGCAGCTTCTCAGACAGCAGCTCCTGAGACAGACAGAGAGAGACAGAGAGAATGTGACCCTGTACTGCACACTGACTTTTGTCTTCCTTTTGACAAAGAACATGTGCCTCTAACAAATGAAACAGCGGGTGAAGTGTGTGATTTGTGCAGTGCTCATACCCTGCTGCAGTCTGCAGTGATGAACTGGGCTGAGAACGTGCGGTCGTTTGGGTGACCCCTCCGTCTCATGTCATTATAGCGCTGCTGGCACTGCTCGATGGAAACAGCAGCGATATCTGCGATGCACAAACACAAATAATTCACAATATGAAGACGTTTAGAGAAGTGCAGATAGAGCACTGGCATGCATGTAGGCCGTCTTTACACCTGCTATTAAAGAGTTAGTTCACCCAAAAATGAAAATTAGCCCATAAATTACTCACACTCAAGTCATCCTATGTGTATATGACTTTCTTCTTTCAGACGAATCCAGTCGGAGTTATATTAAAAATGGTCTTTGCTCTTTCAAGCTGTTTAATGGCACTCAGCAGGTGTTGCATTGCATCAGTCCAAAAGAAGTTAAATAAAAAGCGCCCATCCATAAAAAAAAACAAGTGTCTCACACGGCTCCGGGGGGGTGAACAAAGGCCTTCTGTAGCGAATCGATGCGTTTTTGTAAGAAAAATATCCATATTCAAAATGTAATAATCACTTTAATGTAGCTTGACCCAACAGTTGTACACGGAAGCAGCTCCGGGCGGATGACGTAAGATGTCGGCGTTGCGCATGCGCTGGTGAGTCTCATGAAAAACAACGTTTGTTAACAGGAGCAAAGGAAGCAAAGTTTCCTTACTTTAGCAAAGGAAAACCAG